CACGCAAGCTGATTCTTTTTGCTTTTTTTTTTCACTTTCTCTTCCTGGGGTTCTACTGTTTAGTTGCCAAGTTTCAGTTAAAATGTACCTTTTAGAAGTCTTGTTGAAGTTTTACTGTAGATTCCTTTTAATTCCAGGCAGTCTCCTCCTTTTTTCCCCCCCAGATCCTGCCCTTTTATTCTTTTTCTCTCCTTTCCTGATTATAAAAAAATTTTAGTGCCCAGAAATCTTTATTATCCCTTTGACATTTTTTTTTATTTTCAGCTTAATTGCCTGTTGATGTCAAAGTGGATTTTTTTTTCCAATTTCTTATTTAAGTCTCTTAGTTGTCAGTATAGGGAAAGGGAGAGAAGAAAAAACACACCAAACCTTTCCCTTTTCACTTTCCTTCGCTGCTTCAGACTCTTCTTTGGGAATGATGTTATTATTTTTTTTAGCTTAAATTCCAGGGTACCTTAGTTGTTGCAATTTAACCCGGTCAGCCAAAACTTTCACTTCTTATCTTCCTCCTGCACATTCTTTTCTGGTCGAGTTCTTCTTTGAGGTGGCCATTTCTGACCACCGCTGAAACCGCCTTTGGGAAAGGGAGTAATGGCCAGCTGAGGAGGAGAGATGTGGCTCTCCTCAACCCTGCTGGCAGTCTCCCCCCTCTTCACCACCTCTACGGGGTGGCTTAGTCCCGAAACCAGCCGGCTTGGAGCACTCCAGTGGCGAGCCCAGACCAAAACCGCGCACGATTGCGGATTTCTGTCTATCGCCGATGAAGCTCAAACCGGAAGCCCAGGACAAAGTAAATTTATTTTAGGTTTCTTTTGTGAGATGAAAATTAGAAAATTATGCTCATTAGTCAGATATCATTCTTTCATCTTACTCTGGCTTACAGGGACAGCCAAGAAATTAGTACAAGAAATAAATACGTAGTTCCATTTTAAACTATGTATAATGAATATGTAGCTCAGGAAAATTCAAAATGATAATTATACTAATGAGAGGGTGAAACTGGACAAGGAGAGATTAAATCTTTCTCCTCATATCACTTTTTCCCAAGCTGACCTACAAATAAAAATTAAAAGTTGTCCATCCAAATCATGATCACTGTAGGAGAAAAATAGGAAAATGTAATGGAAGAAAGGCTTATACCAATCTAGCTAGGACATCAGGCCAGGCCAAATCAACGAGTTGTTGCTTTGACTATTTCAAAGCATGGGCAAAATTATTATGGACTGCATTCTTCACCTGAATGAGAAACTTATGGGTAGAATATAATTGTAATTCTCTTTTCCTGTTAGGGATGGACTTCTTGAGTAATAGGTGCATTGATTCACATTTACCAACAAGCTTGTTTCTGTAACAAACTGCATCTCTCCTATCCAAATAGCAAGCAAACTCTCAAAAAAATTAAAACCTAGTTCAAAGTGTAATTTTTCCTCTCTCAAAGAAACGCTCCTTTTTTTTTTTTAATGCACCAATTGCTTTAAAATAGAGAGAAATGGGGTAAGGGTTAGAGCCCATGCATATTACATACCTATGTGGCATTGCAACTGCAGATCACCTTACTAAATCTACTCCCAAATTAAACCTGCCAATGAGCTACAAAATAATCAGCCTTTTTATGCTTTCACCTCTTACTTTTGTTCTATTACACAAAATATTTTAAACCCAATCTTTCTGAGTTTCTATGTACTGCGGCTTGGGTTAACAGACACTGAAAATGTTTGCATTTGAATGGAGATGAACACACCTGCTTCCACTTGAACTGGCAACCACTGGGGGCAGAAGAAAAGAGCAGCTGCCTTTAGTCCAGTGATCGTAGTCTCTTGCCTTTAGAAAAAACCCAGACAGCAACATGGGTGACCACTTAAAAAACAGTGAACAGGACAAGTCATGCTTATGGGAGCAGCTCCATTGGTATTAACCATACCTAACATCTATTTGCGCCCAGCAAAATTCCAAATTTATTCTGTAAGTGTGCATGTGAGCTCTAATCAATGGGAAGGATGTATGTGCTCTGTTTTAAAAACTTTTATAGTTGAAATTCCCTGGTGCTTTCTGACATTAAGAGGGACACAGCTTCTTAGAAATAAATGTATTTTGACATAAAGCATAGAGATTTATTGCCTCTAATTAGCCATTTTAACACAATGAATGGTGGGTATTCTGATGCTATTCTATTGTAAACAGTTCAATGTTATATTTATTTATATCCTGCCTTTATTATTTTTACAAATAATTAAATTCCTTCTTCCTCCATTCCCCAAAACAACAACCCTGTGAGGTAAGTTCACCAGAGAAATGGTGACTTGGTTTAAAGTCACCCAGCTGGTTTTCATGGCTAAGACAGCACTTGAACTCATGATCTCTGTCTTTCTAACCTACCAGTAGTGCTTAACCACTAGACCAAACAGTACATGCCATCTGACATGATACAGGAAGTCCTCAACTTACAATAGTTCATTTAGTGACCATTCAAGGCTACAAAGGCACTGAAAAAACGTGACCTGTGACTGTTTTTCACACTTATGACCATTGCAGTATTCCATAGTCACATGATCAGAATTTAGACGCAACTGGCTCATATTTATGATGGTTGCAGTGTCCCAGGATCATGCGATCACCTCTTGTAACCTTCTGACAAGCAAAGGTTGTAAAACTGACTTAACAAATGTCTCACTGAGCAACATAAATTTGGGACTTAATTGTGGTCATAAGTTGAGGACAACCTTGAGAAACTGGAAAGCTAAAGAAATGTTCAATTTGCTGATGTCATGCAATTATATTTGTCTTTGTCATATAAAACTATGAACCACCTCCTTATAACTCTGGCCCTTGGACATATCTCTTTGTGTGGTAAGGGGTTTGGCACTTTCTATCATATAAAGCTGCCAAATTTATAGATGCAAACTCCCCAAATCTACTTCCCACGCTCACATTGCTTCATTTTGGCCTCTGTGCAACTCTGGAGGTGCATAGCATGAGAGGATTGTTAATTTACCCTTTGGGAAACTGTGTTTTTCCTTCCCTGACTTCATAATTTGCGTAAATTACGATCAAGCATGACTTTCAGAAAACACCCATTAAGAGATGGGCTGACCAAGCAGAATTTAGATATATAATAGAAGCTAATCAACTCTTACCTTCATTGGATCTATTCAATCCAATGAAGTGCTGCATGTCAAAGACAAGGAACAACAATGTGAAATGCAGCAGCTGTGGAACAATTCTAAAATAACAGGTGAAAATATTGGATTCATCATTGTTAAAATTTTAAAACACATAAAACTATTTACAATACAAAGTTCATTATAGTATCAATAATTATTAAAAACAGTCATCTTGGTCTAAATCTGAAAACTCCTTTCTAGGAGTGTATGGACTCCATAGATGTGAATACATTTTTCTTACAAAATTGTTAAACATATAGTATTTTAAAAGACACCACCCTTACACGTGCTTTCGGCATTTAATCATTTGAATTTGTGTAAAAGAGTAAGTAAAAACTCTTGGCATTTCCAATGTTTGGTTTCCTGCATATGCTGGGTCCTCGTAGCTGTCATGCAACTGTTGCTCAGTTTATAAATACTGAAATATATGTTATATGTATCATAGAGATAAATTCTATATTAATCATGATAGCTCCTTTTAGGGAGTAACGAGGCAACCAGTGGCATCATCCTGTATTTAAGAACTCAGGATCAGCATTGTTGATGATAAAAATCAATAAATTTAACCAGGTTTTACATAAAATATTATGTAAAAATATCTAGATGTATTACTTGGTTTGACATTGGTGCTGTTATTTGCATAGGAATTGAATTTAGGGAATCATGACTAGTAATCAAAGATCATGGTTGCAATAAAGTCATTGCTTAGTAGCAATTGTATGTTGAGTATGGAGTTGGAGCTAAACTTTCTGAATGTGTAATTACAATGATCTCAAGAAAGCCTTGGAAATAACAGTATCCCAAGAATGGCAGATGTTACAAGAGAAAAATTATGATTAATGATAATTAGCTAGACATAACTCCTTGAAAGCCAAAAAGCATGCTTCAAAGCATATTTTCCACTCTGGATGTACAGTCCAGAGGTGGTATTCAGCAGGTTCTGACCAGTTCTGGAGAACCAGTAGCGGAAATTTTGAGTAGTTCGGAGAACCAGCAAATACCACCTTTGACTGGAAATTTTATAGAATTCTTCACCTGCCATGCCCACCAAGCCACACCCACAGAACCAGGAGTAAAAAAAAAAAATTGAATCTCACCACTGGTACAGTTCTAGAAATCGCTGCATTTGATTTATAAGTATATGTATCAAAATAGCTGCAGGAGATATGGATGTCTATATGTATAACTGAAACTGAATTCGGATGGAATAGATGATTTGGTTAAAGCTTTTATGTCAAACTGCTACTAGGCCACTGATTTAAAAACTTTGGGGTATTTAAGAATTGTCTTGGACTATTAAATATATTATAAATATAAATATATATAGCTTCCATGTTTCCCTGAAAATAAGATTGGGTCTTATATTAATTTTTGCTACAAAAGACACATTAAGGCTTAATTTCCAGGTAGGCCTTATTTTTGGGGAAATACAGTGTCTGTCTGGCTGACGATCTTAGCTGAGGTTTATTGTTGGGGTAGGGCTTATATCACAAGCATCCTGAAAAATCATGCTATGGCTTATTTTCTGGTGGAGTCTTATTTTCAGGAAAACATGGTACATAACTCAGAAGCTTTGGTAGGTACAATATATCCAGGAAAAAGCCAAACCAGAAAAATAGGAAAGTGTTAAATAGCCTAATAGTGCATTTCCTTTTTGTAATGTGCATCATTAATGTGCAAAGTCTATCTTCATTTAAATTATTTCCCATCAAGTTATCATTACCCTCTAATTTAAAGATTTACAGATTCAACAATTACAGAGTCTGCTTTCTGCTTATATCTTTACTAGGAAAATCATGCTATTTTTTATTTTAAAAAAAAACACAATTATACCATTAACACATTGCCATATTTGTTTGGCATGCTACAACAGAAGGCTTTATTTAGGTCAATTGGAGAATGCTGGCAAATGAAATTTTGCCTGTTTGTGGACATAAGCTTTGAAGTATAGGCTGCTATGTAACTCAAATACATGTAATACTTTAATAACAATAACTTACAGATACGAACTAATGATGAACTATAATTTCACAAAGAATTGTAAACATTTTGCACAATTGTCAGTCCTGTCTTTTAGGCAAAGTGCTCTTTTGATGATAAATAAATTAACAAACACATAGCTAGAATGGACTACTTCCAGACAATACAAAAAAAAAAAAGATGTTTCTCTTCAATAAAGTTTGTAAACATACAGTATTTATGGAGAAAGCCATAAAAGTGTCCTGCAAGCCATCTATACTTACATACCTGGGCAACTAAATGGTCTTCAAAACACTTTGGATGCTATTTAAGATTAAATTGATTTTCAATGACAGAGTACAATAGGTGACTCAGAATGTATATCCTTACTCCCATGTCCCTGAAATAAATAAATCAGCTGTGATTTATTGGCAGCTGTGTCACTGAATGGGTTAGCAAAGGCTGGAGTCCAAGAGCAAAAGGTAAATGAGCTACAAAAATAGAAAGATTTTTGATCAGCCTGGCTGGAAGTACAAAAATATTACTTGTGAATTAAAAAAAACCAATTGTATTGATATGGCTGAGATACTAACAAGCCGCACCCATTTCACAGCTTGTGAAGAAGTCCATGTCTAGAAAGACCGTGCCTTCCAGATGTTCATACCCTGGTGATATCTGCTTCTCCCATATGAACTGTGTTTATACCTGCAGTTCTACAAGTGGCAGGAATTTTATTGCAACTTCGTTTAACGACTTGCCGAGCAGATCTACAACTAAGAAAATTTTCATCATAAATATATAGAGTACTTTAAATGATGATAGCTATTTCAGCTAAAAGGAGAAGCCACAGCTTTTGTTACAACTAGGTGTTCCTTTTAATCAACAGTGGGTCTCAAAATATGCCTAGGATAAGGTCTATGTACCTTAATATTATATATTTCTTTCATCTACATGAATGATTTGATTATGGAGTGTACGTTGGTGTTTTAAGTGCTATGTAAATAATACCTTTTAACCTTTTGGGAAGGGGTTGATCTATATTTTTTTACTCCTTAAAAATGTGAAATTCAAATGGTGTGACAGGTGGAATGTGGTGCTTAAACATTTCATTATTTCTTTAATGCACAAAAGGTTATAGTGGAGAAAAAAAGTCCCACTCTCATTGTACTGAAGGGGAAAAAAAGAGTTCTAGCTATGGACAAATCCAGAGCTAGAGTTGAATATAATCCCAAATACTCTTTGGGAATAGAGCTTGCAGAATAATTGTAATATGGCTTAATACCTACTCATAGCCCCAGTGACCTAAGAACCTACTAGAAATGGTCAAATAAAGTTCTATTGTTATCATGAAGGTCTGTGAATGGTCATGGGGAGAGCAATCTCACTATCAATCATCCAACTATTATTTAAAAAAATAGTCTTGCATGCGAATTATCTTGCTTTTCTTTGAAGAATTCTTTTACCACCCATATTGATAGATAACTGTAAGAATAAGGGCAAACATTGTATTCTGCAACTCTGAAAGGAATCTTTGGAGAAGTAATATGAAAATTCAAGAAGGTAGGTAGGAAATGATGCTATCATATTTTAAGTCTAGGATTTAGAATTCCACTAGTGGGTGGGGAGAATACACTGAACTTATGCCTGTGATTCTATATTGCAAATGGATAGAACCATATTAATTACACATAATTCCATTCTTTCCATGCAATTTAAACAAATGCAAGAAGCCTCAGAATCAGCCCCTTTAACAAAGTGAAATAATAAATTAGTAGCACACTTTAAAGCATTTATTCTGTGGAGAAATATTATATGAAAAGCTCCCATTTCCTTTCTGAGTCAATAGCAGACACTGCTACTTATCTCAAATGACTCTCTGCAACAGTAGGTCATGGAGTTTTTAATTTGTTTTAAACAACTCCCTGGAAAAGCTAGGGTTTCTCACAAATATGATATTGGACACAAAATAAAGGTGGAATTGGCAGCCTATGGGTTGCATGGTGCCCAACCCTGAGCTAAAGGATTCGTTTCAATCATTCCAATCTTCTCAAGTCCATAGAGCAGTTATAGCAAGCCACTGTACCTGCCATCCATGTAACTATGGAGAGCTGTTAACATTGTCCCATCTTGTGGCACATATGCTGAATATGCCATTTCTTCTAACATTGGTGGTGAAAGTCTAGAAGCTTGGACTGTTGTAACAGGAGCAGTGGATGAGTGGTTGGGACTAACGTGTTTCTTATGGCGTGCTCTACAATTTTGAAACCATACCTGAAAATGAAACAAAGAAACCAAGAATTTGGTTAGTTGTTAGATTTTTATTTTCGTGCTAAACAGATGAATTAAAAACATAGTTATCAGTTGCAGTTTTTTGCACTGTGTCATTAATTCCAGATAGAATCCAGTTCATAAAATTTCATACATATTTTTCTCTTCAGTCATATATAGAATTATAGGGGCCCTATAGAAGCTCTATCGAAGGTTATAGCATCAACATACACAATCATTATAACTATGACTAGCATTGCTGATAACTACCAATCATATTGCTTCAGTCATGTGGAAGTATTTAATAGGAAACATTAATTATTTTTCTCTTGGAAAAATAAGTGTTTCTGAAATATTATAAGCTATTAAAATTATTTTAACTAAAATATTCTGGGCATTTTTAGCTTTATAAAAATGGAGAACTTTGGTCAAAACACTTGTGAAATATGCAGTATAGTTACTTGTATCACACGCCTGCTCAAGCCTGTTCTTTCTGCCAGTTTTTGCAGTGTTTGTGCATCTGGATTGTTATCCTGAGCAAACTGTGCTTGCATTACCTGGAAAAAAAATGAGCATGTTTTATAACATACTGACAAAAACTGCACAAATAATCAAGAAGCAGTCATGCTATAGCCTCAATAGTACTTTTGAAGTAAAAAGTATTTCTGAGGAATAGAGCTTGCAAAATAATTGTAATATGGCTTAATACCTACTCATAGCCCCAGTGACCTAAAAACTTACTACAAATGGTCAAATAAAGTTATATTGTTATCATGAAGGCCTGTGAAAGTTCGTGGCTTTACTAAAGGCTTTACTAAATTATAGCAAGGCACTAGAGCAGAGTTGACCTGAATTCTAAAAAAGTTTTAAAAAATCAAAGCAAAATTAATCCTAACCCTAATTTGTCATTAACATACAATAGGAATTTTATCATAAGGCCTTTTAAATATGTCTATGTAACACCTTCATCTTATGAAATGTTACTTTCTACTTGTGTTTTATCAGGCCAAAATATAAGAATCCTACATGGAGAAGTTTCACAAAACATACCAAGTTTCTCTTCCCTAATTCCTTCATTCATAGTTAGCTTTGGAATTCTTATACTGTTTTAGCTGGCCAGTAGCATGTACAAGTCATGTGGTAAAGTTGATTAAAGGTAGTCCCCGACTTACAACCATAATTGAGACCAGAATGTGTTCCTAAGTGAGACATTTGTTAAGTGAATTTCTCCCCCATTTTATGACCTTTCTTGCCAGAGTTGTTAAGTGAATCACTGCAGTTGTTAAGTAAGTAACACAGTTGTTAACTAAATCCAGCTTCCCCATTGACTTTGCTTGTTGGAAGGTCACAAAAGGGGATCCCAGGATTCTGAAACTGTCATAAATCTGAACCAGTTGCCAAGTACTTGAATTTTGATCAGATTTAATTGAATCTAGTAGTAAAGATTTATACAGGTAGTCCTTGATTTATAACCACAATTGAACCCCAAATTTTTGTTGCTAAGCTAGACAGACATTAAGTGAGTTTTGCCCCATTTTATAATCTTTCTTGTCACAATTGTTAAGTGATTTGCTGCAGTTGTTAAGTTAGTAATACTGTTCTTAGGTGAATCTGGTTCCCCATTGACTTTGCTTGTCGGAAGGTTGCAAAAAAGGATCACGAATTGGGACACTGCAACCATCATAAACTCACGCCAGTTGCCAAGCACCCAAAGTTTGATCACGTGACCACAAGGATGCCGCAATGGTCTGAAAAATGGTCATAAGTCACTTTTTACAGTGCCATTTAATGTTCAAAGTAACTAAACAAGTGCTTGTAAATCGAGGACCACTTATAATCTGTACATAGATCACAACACAGAGTTCTTGCTAAAACTCTGCCCTACCGTGTTGCCTGAGATAGTCATCTAAATAGACTAAAATGTATATGAGTAATAAATTGGATTTTCCCCAAACTGATATACCCTAGGATTTCTGAACTAGAGGTAGTCTTCGACTTACGACCACAATTCAGCCCAGAATTTATGTTGCTATGGGAGAAATTTGTTAAGTGAGTTTTGCTCCATTTATGACTGTTCTTGCCATATTTGTGAAGTGAATCACTGCAGTTGTTAAATTAGTAACACAGTTGTTAAGTGAATTTGGCTCCCCTCCATTGACTTTGCTTGTCAGATGGTCGCAAAAGGGGATCACATGACCCTGGGAAACAACAACACTCATATATATGAACCAAGCTTCTGGATTTGGATCACGTGACCATGGGGATGCTGCAAAGGTTCATAACTGTGAAAAGTGGTCATATGTCACTTTTTTCAGTACAGTTGTAACTTCGAACAGTCACTAAATTAACTGTTGTAAGTGGAGGACTACCTGTACTAATATGTCAACTTTCTTATGTTCCCTAAATAAGATCCTAAAATATATAATTTCACATTAGTATAATGTACTGGAAATAACTCTGCCAATTGTAGAATTTTCAGTTAAGATCCTCATTTTTTGTCTCTTTACTTCCTTTATTCTTGGTAATTGTTATTTTGTTTTTTTTATTTTGTATTTGTTATTTTGTCGGCAGTTTATCTTGCTTTAAGTATATGGTATAAACCATTTTCAGTGCACATTTTGTTTAAAGAGGTGGGGTTTAAACTTTAATCAAAATAAAAACATTTAATTTAAATGTTAAATAAATACCCTATGTATATTTACAAGATCAGAATATCTGAAACACTAAGACTTAGACTAAAACAATTAAAACAACTTTTATTAGTTTAATTGCAAACCAACAATTAAAGTAAATTCCTAAAAGGATGACAGCATTATGGTGGCCAATGCAATAGAGAATTAAATAAAAGCAGTTAAGAAAAACGCTAAAATGTATTAAGTTTCCAGTTTATTTACAACAAAATAAAGCAATAATGCAGTAACTGAATACAGGAAGAAATTTGGTTCATAGACATACTCCTTTGCATTTATTTTGCAGCAATGTGGCTTGTATAGGGTAACCTATATACCAGCTTGTTTACAATATTCTGAACACACTTAGACAGCTAATATTAAATTAATCCGATCAATTCACTATGACACTCTGCTTGGAGTGAAGAACAACAGTTTTGATTGTCACATACTATTGCATTTATATGGCATCAAAAATATGAAAAAGCTTATGTTCTTTAGAGATCTGTCGCTTGCACAGTTCCTGGTACCTTTCGTCATGTTACACAGAACTGAAACTATTTACCTCCCATTGTGATTATGTAAATGTCTGATTTAATGAAATTCATCAAGTAGTCAAAATAGATAAGCATTCATGCTTTCACTTTGTAGAATTACTAACTGCCTTGAGGGAAATTGAAAAGCTTGAAGAGTAACTAATTCATATGAAACAGCGAAAGCTCACAAATTTACTCCAGAAACATGCTGTGCCTTGGTATTAAGAGAAATCATATACCATTGAGCGTATAATTTTTTTTATAAGCAACTAATTTATACAGAATTTTTAAAATTATGCACCGTGTACAATTGTTATGCTTCTTCATCATGGCTATGCTCAGCTCCCCACCATAGCTCTGATTATAGCAATCTACGATTCAATGGTTCTACCTGCAGCTGATCTGCTGTGAAACTGGTTCGAGCTCTTTTTGCTGGTTTGGGATGATTAACATCTTGCTCTGTTAATAATGCACCTTCTACACTAATACCATTCCCTGAAATTAAAGAGAGAAGAAGTCCAATTGTAGCACTGATATTAGTTATTATTTACAGATATTCCTTTATAATCAACTTCCAGTATTCAGAATATACTTAAACTATAAAAATATCCATTATTTACTATTTTGAAACAGATAGTCTGGAATTTGAATACATATACATTTTACATACCTATTTCATAATTATTCAGAATAATGAAATAATTTAAAGCAGTTTTTCAGAGTAATATCTGTATTATAAACCAAGTCTATATCTAAAAATAAATTCACAAGCTACCAGACAGATTAGAACATGCAGGTGAAAATTAGTTTTATTTTGCAATTAGCAGAGGTAAATAATCCAATAAAAGCAATGTTCATATATATAACTATTATCTAGTTTCATAGATATAACTTTTCTCACTGGCTAAATTTTGACAACCAAATCTACCCAACTGAAATAATTGAAATGAAGTGAGCATATGTTTCTTTAAAAAGGAAAATATGCAGTCAATGTTAATCTGTTTTGAAAGAACTGCAAAAATCTAATTATGCCAAAGAACCTATTATGTCTTGTTTTGACATTTTTAGTGAAGTTTAAAAAAGAACAAAAACCTTTACCACTCAGAATATTATCACCAAAATGCTGAATACAAATAAAAAAATACAGGTAATCTGTAATCTGAAGCAACTTGCGTTTCAGGATAATTTTCAACACAGTCATATTCCTGATCATGATTAGAGATAAGGTAAAATTCTCCAGACAGGTTAAAAGCTACTGAAAGTGAACTTCTCTTAATGCTGTATCCACACTATCAATGACATATTAACTATGCAACAACTTATCCAGTTAGAAATTGATTTTAAAAATACATTCAAGATTCAGGATGGCATGTGACAAAGTATAGACATAAGAAAGAATACAGAAGCTGTATGAGCTATCCTACATGGGTGTCTACACCAATTAATTAACAGTAAAAGCACTTTGGAAAAGTGTTTGTAACTGGTTTGTAAAATGCTGGAGGAGAAGGAAGTATTTGCATCTCCAGGAGAATGAATTCTGTTCTGGGGACGGTATTTCTCAGAATAAAAGGGAAACTTACCATTTTCAACTTCTCTTTTCAAGTTGTCCAACATGCAATCATAATGCACCCTACAGAGGACTTTCTCTTCAACCAAAGCAAATTCCTCTCCTGTCGAGAGCTGTCTTTTGCAGGAGAAACATGCAAAGCAGGCCAAATGATACACATTTCCTTTGGCTCTTCGAACCCAATCAGTAGAATGGATGTGCCTACCACAGCGAGAACAGCGTGTCCCATACCGTCTACAGAAAAAGAGGAAGAACAAATGAAACACAAGTCACAAGCCTGATTTTGTAACATTATTTTGCCTGAAGTTTACACTAAATGCTATTGGCCTCATAAAAGCCTGAATTTGGATTGTTTAATTTCCATTGCATTTTATCAACCAATAGAAAAAATGCTTTTATATTGTTGACAAGTCATTCTTTTATGCCTTACAAGTCTTCTGGAGAAAACCATAAGGGAGATATCTAAGCACAATACCCAATGGGGTTATTCAGGAACCCTGTTATGTTATGTTATGTTATATACATGAAGTTACACTGGATTTTACTTTGATGTAGTTGAAATTGCTAATTCTTTTCAATTGTCTATCTGTGTGAAATGTGATGTCATCAGTTAGCTAGAATCCTTAATCTTTTCAATTCAACCTTTATTTTTTAAAAAGCCAAAATGTCAAGAGATATGCTATTTTGAACAAATACGCTATTTTGTGTCCAAACAAACATTTAAAAGCAGGAGGCGAGTACACACAATATTTAAAACAAAAATAATGTATGGTTAACAATCCAAACAAAATGGTTTTAAGGTAAGAGTAACTAAATGATGGAAGGAAGATATTAGTACTCATCACTAGCAGTGAAAACCAAAATTAACCATCCAACCCTAGTAAATGCTTTGTAAATTTGATCAAGATTTAGACAAACAGTAGATTTTTTTCTTGATTTCAGATTATGGAGTATATCATCAAAAATGCTCCTCAGGCACACAAAACTGAATATAGGTTAAATACATTATATTTATAAACTGGAATCTATGAGAAATTAATGGCATGGGCATCAAAGAGCAATAGAACAATAGTAACTACTATTTTATCATGCCATATTAAGTCGCATATTTGTGTCTTAATAAAAGAAAGAGTAGGGCATCACATCTTTGCCCATTGCTGAAAATGCAAGAGTCCTAATTCCATAGAAAATCGTATCTTTCTCTTTATTAAAATTGTTTAAACAGACTCCAGTTTGGATGAAGACCACAGTATGATCAATATCTACCTCCATTTTAATCACAATCGGATAACTCAATTATGAGTAAAGGGGAAAAAAAGATATATACATATTTTTTTAAAAAATGATCAATATCTCATTTGGCTTTTAAAAAGAGATATATTTCCCATAGTCTGCTTTAACTTCCTCATAACCTATAATATAATATAAACCTTTTCTTGTATGTATACTGAGAGTATTTGCACCAAGACAAATTCCTTGTGTGTCCAATCACACTTGGCCAATAAAGAATTCTATTCTATTTATGAATAATTTTCAAAGGCAGCTCCACACAAGAGTGTTTTATAGTTATCCAGATGGTTCCTGCTAAGTGAGATGATAAAGATTTCATATACAGAAAACACATTTGTTTAAATATTTTGACAATATTCAATCAACTATTATATTGCTATCAACTGAATGAAAAATAAAGTGAGAATGTTAAGAAACGTATGATAGTGTGTGCACCATTAAATTTGCCAGAATTAATGCAGTTAATACCCAACACATCTTTAGAAGTTTATTACATTTTTCCAAATTTCAGGTTTGTAAATTAAGGTTTTACAAATAATTATAATTAATAAGTAATGCAGGCCACCTATACTTATATATTTGGATGAAAAAAGGTTGGTCAAGTATAATTAAAATGAGTTTATCATTTATGTAAAATGAAAAGTACATGTTTCTGCTGCAGTCATAAATCCCAAACCCTTAGTAATTAAATGCCATATTTTCACTTACTCTTTCAAATAGCAGTTTATTCTAGCAGTAAAGTACTTCAGTGATATATCTTAGTTGGTGGGATACTCTGAAGAGAATGCAGGAATAGTTACTTCCTCATTGTGAAGACAGTGAAATAGAAATACTTTAGTGCTAGAGAAAGTAACTGCACTTTGTGAAGGTAAATTGATGCAGATAGGAGGAAGACAGCAAGACTGAACAGAAAACATAGTAGGAACATCAAACACTTTTCTTTTTTTTTCTTTTTTTGAAAAATTGACCCTATTGCCAAATAGAAAAAAATCATCCAAGATAATTGTGTTGATAATTGTGTTTGTAGGATCCTTGGTGCTCTCTGAGCTTGTTTTCTTGTAGAGGTTTCATTACCAACCTAGGTAATATCAGCAGTGTTAGAAGGGAGCGAGTTTTGTGTACGTGGCCTTTGTAGCACTGCTGATGTTACCCAGCTGGGTAATGAAACGTCTTGAAGAAAACAACCAAGCTCAAACAGAAGGATCCTAGAGTTCAACCCTGCGCTACAAATATTTTCTTCTATTGATACTTATGTTTTTCTAATTATGTATCACCCCAAGCAAATAGTAATACTATTGGGCAATTACTTATGTTCCATCTAACGTATAAAAGAGAAATGAAATAATGTTTTCATCAAGACCAAATATGTGATCTAGTGACCTTAAGCACTTCATCCATTCTGATTTCAGCAAGAAAGCCAACTAACTACCACATCGAGGGCAAAACAAATATTCCAGCCTCTGATCACATATTCTGGCATACACATTTTGAGATATGCAAGGGGGAGTGGGGCCAACACATCATTCACATTAGGACAAATTAGAATTCCTGATTTCTAGTCCATTGAATATTAAACTTACCATACATGATACAAGGATTTTAGAAAGCACCTGGAATTTTAGTAATTACTGGTAGCTAAGAAAAAAAAAACCACGGCAAATATAATCTGCCTAACATTAGCAATTACTTTACAGCATGTAATTTAAATACAATTACTATGAAGAGAAAGAAAGAAAGAAAGAAATACCATGGTGGTATGTGTTTGTATGACGGAACACTAATATATTCAAGATAATTAACCCCCATGCTCCAGCAAGTTTATATAGAAGGCCAAGGATTATATAATTGTACATTGCCATCAAGATTAAGGATGGGGTTGGCAAGCCCACACTAAATAAAAGCTTACAATAGCTGAACAAAACAAAACCAATTCTATTATAGTGCCCAAATGAGAGGAATAGTTTTTGGGCAGCAGTTGCATGAATTGCTCATGCTTGTACTAGTAGTCCCTAGTACTCTTCAAGCTTCAAATTCCTTCTCCCAGTATAAAAACACAGTTCCTGAGTAATATTTTCACCAAAACTAGATAAAACCTACTTAGCCACAACCATATGCAAAATATGCAAAATCTTATTGCACCTAGCATCACAAAATTACCAGGTCAAATAGCATCTTACAATATGGCTGCTGTTACCATTACATGATTAGACCAAAAGTCTGGGAGAAATCTAATTGTGTAAAGAAATCTAAATCAATGTTTAGACTAAATCTGAAATTTAAATCTAAACTAATCTAGCAAGATGCAAAGTAATTTTTGCTTCTCTATATACATAGTTTGTTTCTATGAGAATCTTTTGAACTGAAAGTAATACTATACTATACATTTCCCAATTTAAAATATGATTTTTAAAAATATAGAGATATAATTATAGACTAGAGGAACACATCGGTATATTTGTTTCGGTGTGGCACTGTGCCTTCAGATAATATTCCATCCGAAGCAAGTTGCATATATCTCTGCACAGAAAAAACATTCTTCAGATTTACGTTTGCTGTTTTAAAATAATAAAATGTACTTGAGTTGAACAGTATACCTGAAATAATCTAGTTTGCAGAAAATGTCTTTGTCTTTGATATAGCAACTGGTATGCCTTCCTAAAGAGGTCCTGCATACACTGCAGGAAAGGCAGCGTACATGCCAGCACATATCATTTACCTAGGAAGGAAAAGGAAAATTGAAATCTGACATCACTTATTTGGGTAATTTATGAAACAAGAGTTAACAGTTTAAATGATTAAAAAGAAAAAGGTTCTAATTTTGCACATATTTGAAAAGATAAAGCTGAATCCCCAACTCTGCGGTTCTGTTGAGAATGAGTTTCTTGATCAGTTTTTGGCTTGTTATGAGTTTTGAACATAGACATATGTACAAGTTATTTAAGGATTTGAAATAAATGTTTATGTTAAGTTTAATAAATAATTATAGGAGTGAAGTGGCCGATACAATTACAGACACACTTGATTCAAAATGGTATCATATATTATTATGTCAGCATGAATCTCTAATTCATAAACTATGAATGTGTAACAACTATGGCAATTACCACTTGGTAAAATTTACCATTGATATCTCACCTCTTAAATTATCCCACTACATCAGGCAATAAGCTGAAATATGTTCCTGTAGAGACATGCAATTTTTGTATCTTTTCATGTAGAAAAGTATATTCATATATTTGAATAGACACATATAGAATTGTCTAATCCTGGATAGGGAATACCAATAGACCATAGAGGTGGAAACGTGTTTCATATGATTAAACAGACCAAATTTTAGCACATTTAGACACGTATTAAAAGAATACAGGAGAGTTTTCCCTTTATTGTTAGTTTTAAGACATTAATTTATGACATGAAGTTCAGAACATAGGAACATGTTCTCCTGTGATATCTTTGTTGAAAATGTGAGCTATTTTTGCAGTCAATACTATACATTTTATTAATATTAACATACAATTGTAAGTATAAGTCTACTTTCTTTGGACTGACAAAAATAATAAAATTGCCTTAGTAAGATGTTATGAATAGTTTGTCAGTAATGCTATACTTTCAATAAGCAAAAATTAATTTTTGACCCCCTCTGTATAATTTCTTAGAATTGAATTTCTGAAGTGCCTTTGAGCTTAAATTAAAATGTCAGCATACTACACTCAGGTTTTGTAAAATAATATAAATATAACAATATATAAATATTGCCTAAATCTCAAAACAAATTAAAATCGGCATTAATGATGTGGAATGAAATTGACTGCTAACTGGACAAACAAGTTTTTTAATATGTTATGTTGTGATATATTACAGTACAAAAGTTTAAAGTTACAACACTAAGAATTGGAAAATAATGGTTATACAACTTTCTGAATGTCTGGACCCTTACGTTTTATAGCTAAATAATACCAACCACGGTGACTACCCCATTAGAAATAAAAAAAAATCTTAAGATTTCTTTAGTGCAGCTAGCAGTTTAGAAATAAAACTATGTAGGGGCCAGAGAAAGTTAATAACATTCATATATTTAGTGCTCTTTACAAGTTTATAATTGCATTTCAATTTTCAAGAATTGCCTTACCCAACATCAATGTCTTTGATAATTTCCAGAACATTGGCCTTAAAATTTTGGCATTACATGCAACACATTAGGAAAGTTTGGTTTGTAGTTAAACAATAATAAATTGTTCTTTTGTTTACAGCAAATCAGCTCCTGTTATGTATTTCCCAAATTCAGTTTTTTTAAATTATGGGTAAATGAGAACATTACAAAAACCTCTGCAATAATTGTCCCTGAATATACTGTCTATTAGTTATTAAGAAGACAATGATTTTGTTTAAGAAAAAACAGACACAAGCACAGGCCTAACATCATTGGATGATTTCACTGGATGTCATCTCAATAAAATAAGTCCATATGCTTTTTCAGAACTCATGGCTATGATCAATGTGGTTTGAGTCCCTTATACAGTTTAGTAGTTATTTGCTTTTCGGTTGCTCTGGCAAGCTTTTAAATATAGCATTTGTTGTGGATAAATATTTAATATCAAGGTATTTTGAAGACTTAGGCTAAGATGTCCAGCAGGGAATGAAACAGGGTGGGGGGTTTTTTTTGTGGGGGGGGGGAGAGGAAATATCAGCTTCTCTTACTCAACAACTCCATGCAGCTAAAAAGCAAGAAAAATATTATTTTAGCCTTATCAGAAGAGAATTAAAACAATTTAATTCTTGGAAAGTGACACTTCACAAATACATAGATGCAAACATATTTATTTGGCCTGACTTGAATGTTGAATTATTTATAGGAAGCTATTGCCAAATGCAGCAATGTGTCAACTATGAAATCAAAATTACCGCCCTTTTACAATAAAATCAAAACTACCATCCTTTTACAAGAAAATCAGGTTTCAGTTTAGATTAAATCATTACCTATTTACCCATAAGTCATTCATAAATTGCATTTAAATTTACTATATACAAATATTTAAAATTACTGTGCCTATAATTATAGAACGTGTTGAGAAGATGCTATTTTAAAACAAACGTGAATTAAAAATCAACTGTATCTTAACATGTGAATTAAAAATCAACTGTATCTTTACTATATCTTAATGCATACTATCCCTGAACCCATACAAAGTTTAAGTTTAAATATTCAAATTAACATAAAGTATTGTCATTTGCCTTTTAATACTGCACTGCCCTTATATTCCTGAATTAATAGTGACTTAAATATGCAAATTAATTCAAGAGTGTTATGTTATTTCTGAAAGGCCAAAGAAGATGACATTCTGCCAAGTTTCATAGAGCTACTTCTAGTTGAATTTAATTTCCTTTAAATGTTAAGTCTGGTTGATAGCAACCTGAATTAAGCTCACCTGATGTGATCCATTAAAACAAAGAAATCAGAAGGCACGATTGGAAAATATTTGGGATGGCATCCAGGCTATTTTTCCAAATTAATCCCAAATATATTTTGTAATTACAAAGTATTTGAAAACTGAGTTTCTCTTTGTGATAACTTGCCACTGCTTATCTATTATCATGAAAGGGAATTATTTCAGCAATACTTTTTTCTTTCCAAACATAGTATTTATTCTCCAACTTTTTCTTCTGTACCACAAACAGCTGCTACCGGTTGCAACAAAGTCTCAAGACAACTTTAAAGCCAAACAAATGTATCCACCTGGAAGAGTCACAAAAATCTGCAATCTTTATTCAGCTACAAAAGTAAGGATAGCTTTCCCCTCTTATTCTTGCAGATAAGATAAGCGATATTCTAAAAGGCTGTCTCTATTCCAATCTTAAGTCATTTCTTCTCCCAGACAGAGAAGTTTATTTGGCTTATGCTGCAGCTCCCCTTCCAGAAAATTACTACCATGCCAACGGCAACTCTACCGAAACCTTCTCATTCACGGACCCAGTGTTTGCTCACCTTCAGTAGGTATTTGTCCACAATCTCTAGACCACAACTATTACAGATGCATTTGCTGGAGCCGCAGCTGCCTGAGCCAGAAGCCAGGGAACGGGGCGAAGAGGACGGCGACAGCGGGGTGGAAGAAGAGCAAGAATCCTCATCAGCCACCACCTCTGGACTCACCTGTCACAGAGACACAAGCACAGGTCTGTCATCAGCGGGACTCGGTTCTTTTTTTCTTCCCTTCAATCCGAGTCTTTGGGGCCAAGGCTCTTTTGAAGCCTTTCCCCATTCAGATCTACTAGGGCACAAACCCGATTGGCGACGTGTCTATGGAGATTCTCAGCCACCCAGGTCACCCCAAGAGGCAACTTGGGCTTTCTTTCTTTGGTTTTACTTTGAAGACGTTTTGCTTCCCACCCGAGAACCAAAGAAGCTTCTTGGATGAGAAGAGAAACGTCTTCATAGAAAAAACAACAACAACCAAACAAACCAGAAAGTCCAAGTTGCCCCTTGGGAAAAAAACAAAAAAGCACCTTTGGGACGTGATTGTTTCCCCCCCCCCCCCCCCGCTGCCTCCCCACAACGCTACTTTCATCTCATCTAAAGCCACCCCTCAAGGCAACGCGCTCCTCCTTAAGGCAACAACCAGGGCAGTCTCCAAGCGTGTAAAACCCGTTAGGGTTCAAGTCAAGCGGTTGTGACGACCCCCGGGGACAGAGGCAAGCGAGGCACCGCCGGCTGAGGAGAACCAACGCCGCGTCCTACAAGTTCCCAACCACCTCGGCTGCAAGGCCGCTTCTCCCGCCCACTCCCCGTGAAGGCCAGAAACTTTGCTCCCTTCTTACCCCCGAAACCTCGTTTCTTTGGGGACCCTCCTCACAAGTTCGGGCTCAGAGCCTCCCGCCACCCCTCCCTCCGGAAAGCAAAAAAAAGGGGGGACCCCTCGCGCCTGCAGTCGCCCAATCAGCTTCCTGGCCGAATCGAGGCGGGAATTCGAACCCAGGAGCCGCCGGCAGTGACCTCTTGGCACAGCCCGCCGCCACATGCCTGCCTGCCTGCCTGCCACGTTCAAGCGCTCGGAGGGCGCTTCTGGGCCAGCTGTCCCTCCAGGAAAGTTCCCGCCAACCGATACAACCCCCCCCCACCTCACCTCACGAATTTCAACCTACCCGAGGCCCCTCGCAAATCCCAAGAACGTCCCTCTCCCCAAATTGTCCTCTCTCGTTTCCTCAGGGTTTGCGGCTCGAGTCCCTCTTACCAGCCCTGTGTCTCCGACGCTTTTCCGCCTCCTTCCAGTCGCTGCGGCAGCGGCTGCCCCTCGCTCGCTCTCCTCAGCCATGAGCTTCGGGAACTGCAAAAGAGAGACCAGACCGCCTTAGCGCCTCTCCGAGAGCGCCAAGAACTTGAGGCGAGGTTTCCTCAGTTGTGCGTGTGAAGAGGAGGAGAGGGAAGGAAGCGGGGCTGTCGACCCTTCTCCCACCCAGAGAAAGTTAAACAAGGGCATTTAGAAGGCTACGCCGAAGCCCCCCCCCACCCCCAAGCCGAGGAGAAACCTTGAACTCTAAGTGCAGCCGCAGCAGCCTCCCCAAAAGCCGGCCCGGCTGCCAGAGCCGGCCTCGATTTGAATGAAAATGCCTCAGCTTGCTTAGCGCTCAAGCGGCTCGCTGCAATTAAGAAGTCGCCCACCACTTCCAGCTCTGGCCTTCGGAGGTTGCAAATTGCCACTTAAATCTCTCCGGGCGGAGTTAATAGGCCGAGGGAACCACTCGACTCGAGAAATTAAAAAACACACGCACACACAACTGACGGGAAAATGGAGAGTCCTGTGAAAAGGAGAAGCCTTGAAACCAGAAGCCAGCTGAATTTAATTGAGGCGTCATTAAGAACAATTGGTCCTTGGGTCAACTGGAGGGAGGAAGGGAGGGGAAGGTACATAAGAGGGCTTGACAGGGCGAGGCGGCCGGGCTCTTTCGACCTTTCTCAGCAACCCCGCTCGGGGGCCGAAACAAAGAAGCCCCAGCCCTCGCTCTCCTTTTATCAGCGTCTTCAAATCAGTCTCAGTTACCTCAGGATCGCCTCATTCGGAGGAGTTGCCTCCAGACCCTACCAGAGCCGTTAAAGAGACAGCGCCGAGGCAGCCTCGGCCGCAGACGACTGAGGGAGCCGAGCTTAGCCGTCGCCAGTCTGGAAAGACCCACCAAAGCGAAATTGTTTTATGGAGCTTCTCAATAATCCAAGTCGTGGTTGTCCCAAAGGTGCTCCCCCCCCCCGTCCCCAAAAGACAACTAACTGAATTTTCTTGGGTGGCTTTTTTTTTCCCCTTTGAAAACGTTTCGCTCCTCATCCAAGAACCTTCTCAAAGGGGGGGAAAAAAAAAGTTCAATTGCAATTTTGGAAAGAAAAAAAAATAAAGCATCTTTGGAACCACTAAGGCGAAATTGCCACGGCGAAGACCGAACTGCCCCTAAGCGACTTCTTGGTTCCTTTCCTACAACTTGCCTGGCACCTAACAACTGAATCGGCACTCTTTTTTCCAGGGGCTGTTTATAAAAAGGCCCTTAATTCAGGGAAGCTCTCGCTTGTCAGAGTAAAGGTTTAATTTCCCCCAGCCCCAGTTTCCCTGCGTTGGGTCTTCGGGCAGGAGGACCCCGATGGAAGATTGCAAGGCTGTCATCAACCCGCAACCCCGAGATCGCTTGACGTTTCTTTCCCAGAAATGGAATTGGGTTCAATTGATCTGGCGTCAGTCTGGCCAAATTAAATCGAGCCGCTGTTCCTTTACCAATCGACTCTGGGTTGAAACGAAAGTTTCAATTAGCTGATATAAGTCCTAAGTGGGGGGGGGGGGGAGAACTATGGTGGGAAAAAATGAAGACGGTCTGCGATATATCACTTACCCCGGATTAGTCCCATGGAAGACAAAATAATGACTTTAGGATTCTGGTTCTGGCTTGTTGATTGCCGGGAAATGACTTTTTTAAACAAAAAAAAAGGAAGCCTGCTGGTTGGAACGTATTGCCTTGAGTAGTTCGAAGCCGGAAAAAAAAATCCTCGAGCCACACGAAGGCTTAAAGTCAAGGGACTATTCCAGAGTAAGTGACTGAAGCGGCGCCAGTCCTCTAGCCTAAATATTCGATTAATTTAGATTTCCTCCTGCTGATGTTTCGTACTAACGTTTCCTATTTAACGTTTCCTATTTCCGAGTAGGGGTGAGGGGGGGGGGGGAATAAACACAGACGAAACTGTAGCTTATCCTCTCCTTGAATCTCCTTTGCAGCTGGGGCCACTTGATCTGGCATCAGGTCAGACCGTGCCAAATTTGCTTTCAGATATATTTGGATAGTTTGAAAACGCATCCACCAGACGAAAGTCGCCCAGCGCAGGAAAAGAACCGGGAAGGGAGAGAAGCTTTTGCTAACCCAAGCTATCAAGAAACTCAAGTAGTTTCATTGAAAGGCATGAAATGACTCCGGAACAAAAGGGCCTATTGCAGCTGGGGGTGGGGGGGAGAAAGGCAAGGCAAATTCGAATCCGCTCCGGTTCAGAGAGCGCTCCGAGCAGGAAGGCGAGCTGCTTAAGAAAACGCCCGGCTCACCTTCTCCGTCGCGAGGCGAAGCGCAGGCACGTCCTTCTCCAGTTTACACACAAACATCTGGCTGCTCTTCCAATACATGGCCCAGGGCTGGGAGCGCTCCTCGCAGACCCCCTCCCCCCGCACGGAAAAAGCCTCTCCGAAGTCCACCGGGCTGAAAACGAGCGCCCGAGCCGCCCGATCTCCTCCTCCTCCTCCTCCTCCTCCTATTCCCGGGCTTGGGATCCGCGCCGTTTCCCGCCAGCCTCTTCCTAAGCGCTCTGCTCGCCTTCACTGAGGTCAGACCCTGGCAGAAAAAAAGTTTTGCTTTCAAGGGGGTGGACCCTGCAAAGAGGGAGCGCGCCTCTTGGCTGGTTGCTGGAGCCTCACCTCCTGGCGTAAAACCCGCCTTCCAGCCACGGCCAGATCGTTATCGCCACCAAGCCAAAATAGTCGCTCTGGGGAGCGCCTTATTCTGCCGTTTGGGGTTTTTTTTTAAAAAAAAAAAAGGGGGGGGGGAAGGGGCAGGTTAACGCTGGATTACCCACCACGGTAGCCTCCCCCCCTTTTTTCTCTCCATTCCACCCGGACCTCCAGCGGATCATCTGCCGCGGAGCGCAAGCCAAAGCCACGAAGGAGGACGCCGCGAATATTTCAGCATCTTTGCCTTATTCCGCGCTCCTTTCTAGGGGCAAGCGAGACTGGACGAGAGCGGGCCGGGCCTTGGACCAGACGGCCCGGAAAAAAATAGCCTGCTTAAGGGGACAAGCAAGAATATTTGAGCAGTCCCAAAGACCCGCCGGGGAGATCCGAAGCGGCTTAATCGGCGCAAACCTGGCGGCCGAGAGGAGACTAACTGAAGGCCCGATGGGCGGCGGCGGCGGCGGCGCAAAACTCCTGCATCTGATTTGCCACCCCCATCCCGAAGGCCAAGGCCGCATCTCCAAAAACGCCTCGGACTCGGACCCTCGATATGCCCGGCGGGCGATCAGACTCTTTCGGAGGCAGTGCCGGCGGCGTTTGATCCGTCTGTTTTGCGCTCCGCTCCCTTCTCTCCTTCCTCGACGGGCTTAAGGAAGGAAGGAAAACGGGCGGCGGCGCTTCGAGCGGCGAAAGTCAGGCGGGTGTTTCTATTCAGCGGTGAGTGACTTTGACCTTTCGGGCCTTGGGTTAAAAGACGGACCCGGGAGCCAAGGCTAAACAAACCACAGCTTATGCTTTAGTCTGTTGTATAGCTAAGGGTGGCTTGTTTAACGGGCCGTTTCCAAGCGAGCAACAGGCTCACTTGATATTTGAACCAGATTCCTCTTTCCAAGTAACCCCGCTTTTTTTCGTCAACGTTTAACGACGACAACTTACATTGCAATACACTTTTCAGCTTGCCCGCCTTTTGGATGAATTTCTTACCAGTAACTAAGTTCGTTTAATCGGGGCGGTATTGCGCTGCTTCCCTCGAAAGGAGACTCGCCCCGCGTTGCCGCTCCGCAGTATGACCCCGGGTCGTGTTTATTCAAAGACTGGCCCCAGTGAGGCTGCCTCTCTAGCGTTTAAACCTTCAAGAGTTGGCTGCGGATCTTGAGCATGCAGCGCTAACCATAAGGCTCCTTCAGGTGGTTTAATTTATGTAAGGGGGAGCCCTATCTTTATTCCTTTTTTTTTTGTACATGATCGTTTTTCCCTTGGGTCGCGCAGCATTTTCTCTCGAGGATCTTGCTTTTTCTCGCCTTCCCGCCGTCTATAAATTTTCTGCTGCTGGCCATCCTGGGGTGTTGCCCAAATTAATCGACGGGTTGGCACGGAACTGCGCTCTTTCCGCCGGAGACCGTAGGGCAGGCGGGCTTCTTCTGCGCGATTATTTTAGAGAGGCGACTTAAGGCGAGGCGATTTTGGCTCTCGAGCGCGCCAAGGGCGGCACCTTCAAGGCTGGCCTTTCAACATCAACTCCACCGACTAAAGAAAAGCCCAAGTTGGCAGAAGGAGACCCGACGCGGATCCTTATCAGACTTTAAGTCCGCCTCGCTCGGACTGCTGCAGAGCAAGGACTGAGCGGAGTTGGTCAACTGGCCGCGAGGGGGAAAAACGCCTCGGAGTGTAGCGAAGCGTAACTCGCAGCTTCCGAAGAATCCGCAGCTCCTCGCTTCGGGAGCCGAATCGCAGCGTTGAGAGCGGAGAAAGCGAACGATTTCCTTCCTTCCTTAAGCCCAGCGAGAGAAAGGCACCGATGATGTTATTTAATTTGAATGTTGAAACGTCTGAAAGAAAAACAACCAAGCTCAGAAAGCACCAAAGACCGCTCAATTAGGGCTCAGCTGGCCGGCCCGAAGTGACAAAAAGTTTCAGATAGCGCCAGGTTCTCGTTTTTACAGAAATTACTTTCTAGTGCCATGTTTGTCTTAGATCAATCTGTCCGTCGGCTGTACGTGTGTCTTTGTGTACTGCGTGTGTGTGTGTGTGTGTCACACTCATACGCACCCAAACCTTTTGGTTTTTATAAATAAACTATAATTCGACAGTGAGCTTCTTGGAACCACTTCGCCCATCTTTTCCAGTTTGCCTCCCGAGACAGCAGAGGACTGAGCAAGATGCTAGAAGGCTTTCCCCGGATTTAGGGGGAAAACTAGGTCAAATTATGGCTCGGTTTTTGAGCCCACCGTTTGCAGTGCTACGGCCTTCAGTGGCTGGGCAAGTAATGGCTTTGGACTTCAGCTCCTCTCCATCAGCGAGCAATGGTCCAGAATGATGGGGGGTGGTGGGGGGTGTTGTAATCCAAACCGTCTAGTATTTCCTAATATTAGGGGAAATTGACCAATGTTCACAATCCAGACCTTTTGAGACCTCCAGAGACAAAAGTGATGCTCCGTAAAATCTCCCTCGTGCTTGACCCTTGAATATGAATATTGGACGAGGGTATTCGGGAACAACTTGGCGGCTGACGTGACGGGCAATGGAACTTTTCCCACCCCCATCCTAAAAAACTCAATGTTTGACTACTCTAACTGCCCAAAGATTGAGGATCCTTCAATCGCTTAAATCAGGGCCAAACGCCTAGAGGCTGCCTTTTTCTATCCGAGGAAGCGCTCTCCCACCTCCCCTCTAAATCCTCTTCCGGGCATCAGGCCAAAGGGATTTTTCAGTTGTGATCTATCAGCCCTCTCCTCCTGCCAGAGAAGTCATGGCGCCACTTCCGGGGGAGGAACCCCTTCCGGGAAGCGTTTGACAGCAATAAAGGAAGAGAGCTCATCTGCTTTCTGCGTCCGTGCCCCTCCCTGAATTAATAGCCGGGATCGAGTTGCCACACCGAAGCCTTGTGGCCATGGCTAGCTCCTAGGTAGGACATTCGTGGTCGGCTGAGGCTGCTTGTCTAAACCTCGGGCCCCCAACGGCTTCCAGCAGATTCTCTTCTCCAGTTGGTCCTGAGGGATTGAGCTGAAACGGTTCGCCTTTGTCGGAAGGAAAAAATGTAACTTGCAAAGCACTTTTTTCTTCTTCTTCCTGTAGCCACTTTTGAAACCTTTAGGAGATCCATTCATTCCATCAGGGGCACGTTAACTTTGGTAGAGAGGATTAAAAGAAACGCTTCTCTCTCTCTCTCTCCCTACCTACCCCCTCTCTCCCTCTCTCTCTTTCCCTCCCTCTCTCTCTTTCCCTCCCTCTCTCTCCCTCTCCCTCTCTCTTTCCCTCCCCCTCTCTCCCCCTCTCCCTCTCCCCCACTGTCTCTCTCAAGCCAAAGGGTGTCTCCTTTCCCGTACTCAACTGATTCGGGTCTTCTTTGCAGACGAACAAAAAGCGTGTTTAGGAGCTTTCACCCGAAAAGGGTGCAAGCAATTACAGAGCGGGTTCTGCAACGTCAGCACCAGCGCCCTCGTTCCTGGGAGGTCGTGGACTTCTTGAATCTGTTGAGAGAGGAGAACTAATGATTGGTAGGGGGACGACGAGATCGGAAGTGAGATAAAATGGAGAGGGAAAACCATTTGGGCATCAGGAAGCCTGCATTTAGCTGCTTAAAGGAAGGTCGGGCTTTCATTTTAGGAACAAGCTGTTTCCCGCCTCCCACCACGAGGGCTCCTTGGGGGCACTGTTAACCCTGTAACTGCCCAGAGAAACCAGTTTACTTAGGGCGCCTTAATATTAATAAGCACCCGAATCTTTCAGCACATTTCATTGGGAATAATTTCGAATGAAGCCCGTGAGGCTTCCATGCACGTGTCTTGTGTGCGTGGATCAATCCTCAAGACCTCTGGGCTGTACATCACTCCATCCTTACCCGAGAGTTAGTCCCATGGCCTCCGGGAAGCTTACTTTCGAGTTGCAGACATATTGCACGCACCCACGAACTCCAGGGCTTGCGTAAGGTTGAATTCAGTTCTATGGCGTTTAACGAATCTAATTCGGGTTTAATCCGGAGCCTTTGGAACGTCAGTATTCGGTTCACTTATTTGGAAAGAAGGAACATTTTGTTCTCTAATTTCTCGCGCTTCTGGCTACCTTGTAAAAAGGTAAAGGCACTTCAGACGCGGTAAATATATAGGATGGAGTGGAGTGAAGAAAGTCTCAAGAGGGTCGGTTTTTGTCGCTCGTGAGTTTTTTCCCTTCTGTCCCCAATTTGCCTTTTCTTATCAGCTATTGTTCGCCTGTTAAAAGGAAAGAAATAGTTTCATCCACAGCCGCAGAGTCTCTGCAACCGAGAAGCAACCTTTCAAACAATAAAAGAACTCACCGGTTGAAAAAAAAAACCAGAACAAACAAAACAAAAAAAACCCCACCTTAGTTTTGGAAGAAGATACTATGATCCTAAAAGGGCCAAAAGGAGATTGCAAGCGTGCAAACTTTATTTTCTACACCGTTTTCAATGTTATCCATTGAGCTGGCTGATGATCCATTGAGCTACAGTCCAGTGGGAGATTGGAAAGATTGTCGGACAGAAATCAATGAATAGAGTCCTGCTTTCTTCTTTGGGATCGCTGTTTTTTTTAAAACTGCAACCGAGATGATCTCTGAACAAACTCATATCGAATGCAATAGGATTTACAAGCAACCATGCAGCCCAACAAAATATAACTTGCATGTCCTAGGTGGAGACATTTGGACAAAAAATTCACAGCTGATTTTTAAAAATTAGCCCATTTTAAAAAGAAGGAGGACAAGGGAAAAGGAAGAAGGGAGGAAGAGAAAGAAAGAGAGAGAGAAAGAGAAAGACAGAGAAAAGAGAGAGAGAGAAAGGGAGGAAGAAAGACAAAAGGAAGGAAGGAAGGAAAGAAGGAAAAAGAAAAAAA